CTTAACGACTGAGCCACGCAGGCGCCCCGAACAGAAATCTTTAACGTAGACAGATCCATTACATATTCCCTTTACAAGTTGTGCTTTCTGCATCTTGTTTACAGAATCCTCTTTAACCCCAATGTCATAAAGTTATTTTCCTACATTTTCTCCTAATAATTTTCTGTTTATACCTTGCATGTCCAGGTCTGAGTTTCTTTGTGTGTTGGTATGATTCAAGTTGTTGTTTTGTTGTTGTTGTTGTTTTATTCAAGTGAGCCAATTTCCCTAATACTATTTGTTAATTAATGCATCTTCCCTCAGTGTTCATACCAATTTTATCACAGATCAACTGCCCATGGGCATAAGTGGCATATAGGTCTGTGTCTGTACTCATTATATTCCTCTGTTCTAGCAACAGTACTCCAGGCTTAAATAGTTACAGTATGCTTAAAATATTAGGGCTTTGCAATGTGTATTAATATCAGGTAGTGTGAATTTATTCCCTCTACTCTTTGAGAGAACTGTACTAGTTATTGGTGGACTTTTTCTTCTTCCATGTAAATTTAGGATTAGTTCCAATTCCATCTGAACTTTTGTTGTAATTGCATTAAAATTTTAAATCATTTTAGAGGGAATTAACATCTTTACAACATTAAAATCTTTCCTTTTGTAAATATCGTATATTTCTCCATTTACTCAAGTCTCTTTTTAATGTTCTTTTAAATTTTTTCATGAAGGTCATATGTAGTTTTTGTTAAGTCAATGCCTAGATTCTTTACAGTTTGGGTTTCTTTAACAAGCTTATTTTCTAATGGGTTATTACAGGTACATAAGAAGGCTTCTGGTTTTAAACACTGATTTTGGGGGCGCCTGGGTGGCTCAGTCATTAGGCGTCTGCCTTTGGCTCAGATCATGATCCCAGGGTCCTGGAATTGAGCCCCGCATCAGGCTCCCTGCTCAGGAGGAAGCCTGCTTCTCCCTCACCCACTCCCCCTGCTTGTGTTCCCCTCTCTTGCTATGTCTCTCTCTGTCAAATAAATAAATAAAATCTTTG